AGACCTATAAAACACTATAGCTATCTCTGAAGGCTGCTGAACCTCACCCTTCATATGGAGAGGTGGTGATATCTGTAGTCCTGTCCTAGGGTGACAAACATAGATTCCTTTATAGATACAATAGTGAGTTAGCATTGTTGGTTTAGGACATGAAGTTTGTTGCTTTCAGTTTCACCAACTGAAAATAAAGGGGAAAGACCTGATCGAAGAAACAAATGCAGCCATCACAGCAGCACTATATGAAATTTTTGTTCTTGGGTTTAGATGCACTCTAACCCCCACTTACCTAAATGCAGGCAAACTAAGATGCCTTAATTGACTATATTCTTCCCTATCTTCTTACCAAGATGGGCAACTGTGCCATCAGGTATATAAGTAGCTGGGTCCATACACCTGATCTTGCAGCTGCTTACCCTTTTTAAATAGGAAGGATGGTGATGGCTGGACAGAACCATTGCTATTGGCACCTTTTAGAAACGACGAGGAGGGCATTCTCCAATAAAAGTAGGACTTTGCCTTTTAACAACCCATGAACTCATAGGGGTTGATTTACTAAAACTGGAGACTGCAAAATCTGGTGCAGCTACGCATAGAAACCAATTGGCTTCCAGGTTTTTGCCAAAGCATAATTGAACCATCTGATGTAAGAAGCTGGCTACCACAGCTGCACCAGATTTTGCACACTCTAGCTTTAGCAAATTAACCCTTTTTAAATGTGTACGCACACTATTAGTAGAGTACATTACACGAATCTGAAATGTTTAACAGCCACAAAAAAAAAACAAAACAGGTTTGCAAAAAGGTCCTGACCCTGTGCGTCATAAAGTTTCTCATAGGCTTGCATTGTGCTTTCTGAGACTGGGGTGAACATGTGCTTGATGGTCCAACATATAATCTCCAGGTCACTGTGTTGGTGGATACAGACTCTTCCCCCATCCACATTTCAACCTTCGATATCTACTTTCAACATACTTCATCCTCTTATGGAAACCTTCCTCCTGATTAGATTTGTTTGAAATACAAACGTTAATAATATGGTCATCAGATTTATTGTCCCAGCCAATGTGGGACAGTGGATATTTCTAGATTTATTTTTTTTTTGTTTTATAACTGCGAAGTGCTTAATGTGTTCCTAATCTACTGTGTTGGTTTTTTTTTTTTTTTTCCTTTTAATGTTTATATGATTATCTGAACCGAATCTGAATAAATAAGTATTAAAAACAAAAAAAAAAAAAAAATGAAAACAAAAAAAAAAATGAAAACAAAAAAAGAAAAGTCAGCAAATGTGTCTGTGTTTTGTTTTCGGTTCAAAAAAACTAATTTAGGAAGAAGTAACTTTTTCAGAATTCAGTTAGTAGCAACAATGCCTTATAAGATGGCAACAGTGATTTCAGATATACAGAGCAGCTTAGGCAAAAAATATATCTGCAACCAGTGACTGTTGGTTGTAGTGGAATATAAGCAGTGCAATGATCTTAAAATGTAATGTCATTGTGCTATGTATTTTAAAAAAAAAAAAAGTAAATCAATACATATGGCAGTTAAGCAGGAAAAGGTAAAGTGGAAGAGAGCAGAGAAAGGGGGAAATGGGCGGATTAACCTGTTGTGGTTTGTTTTTAACTTTTGTAGCAGTTTAACTTTTTCCTGAGAGAAATTTGACTTGTCGTTGCCAATCATGTCAGAATGCTGGTTCGCTGGGTTTTTAACTTTGCGATTTAGTCAGTGACTTGGAGCAAGTATACAGGTCAGGAGTTCTAAGCTCACCAGCTGTGTACTTGTTTTAGGTTAGTTACTAAGGCTAAAAAGGTAAAGTTGCATGACAAGTCCAACCCCATGTTTTTCAATGATAGCTGTTCAAATATGTATGACTTAAAGTTGCAGAAACTTCAAAGTAGTTCATGCACTACTTTTGGTATGACTTTCATGCAACTTGAGTACTATAGACTGCAATGTAAACCATCAAAAGTTGTATTAAAGTTGCAGCTAAGCCTAGATTCACACTTCTGCAGTGTGGCATATTGCATGTGATATGTACAGGAACTGCATCGCATTCCTGTGCAAATCCTATGCGAATACATTTTGTATGGCTGAAATCGCATCTCACCTGTGCCAAAAAGGTGCAGGACTCTTCTTTTTGGTCCGCACTAGAATCCGATTGAACGGGTATTCACACCCATGCAATCCAATTCTTCACATCACACTGCGTTTTTGCGAACTGATTTCGGGGTGTTGTTAACTTAACATACATACCCTCAGTGGTTCGCATGAACAGGGGGAGATTGCTATGTGGTGCAGAATTCGCACAGAAACCGGTGTGAATTCCGCGCCCCATTAGTGTGAACCCAGGCTCAATGTTATTCATGCAACAGTTGTCAAAGTTGCAATCCAGAGTCGTACAACTTTAGAGCTGTACAAGTGTGAATGGAGCCTAAGTAGTGAATCCACGCAATCAGAAGCTTGGAGCCTTGAAATAAGCAAAAATTATTACTGAGTTTGTCAGCAACAGGTAAAAATTTCTTGCCTAGAACATTTTTCTTTGGTTCTCACTTATGCACTTTTAGAAGTCATTTTTAGCAAAATCAGTGTTTTTTTTAAAAGAATTTAAACCCTCTTTATCTTTGAACAGCATGCACAGATTGTGCAGATGACCCGTGAATGTACACCCTTACTTTGTTAGACATACATATTAAATAGATATAGATTACTGTCAGTAATTTTCAATTTGGCTGAAGTTGCTCTGTCTGCTCTGAGCAGAGAGTGGTGACTGTCAATCACCACTCTGTGCTCTGCCCCTCCACCACTCACTAAAGCACTGGTTTGGGGAGCAGGTGGGAGCATCTGGCTCAGGTTCTCCGGCTGACTGACCCAGATGCCGGTCAGACTTTAGCCTGCTGAGGGTTGATTCTGAGTTACAGGAGAGCAAAAGTGCACTCCTGTGACCCACATGAAAAGTATGATTAAAAGTGCTTTGGCTATCATTCTTCTAAAAGCAACAGAGATTCTAACAATTCCTCAATGTCAAAATTAATAAAATATTTGGCTAGAGATGCCCGTAAATCTTTTAGCCTTTCTTTTCTATTTAGTTTTATAGAGAGAGTGGAGACAGATTTATAAGTTGTGTTATATTGTGATATGCAATAGTAGTGGAGCTTACTCTTGCATATTGGATTAGGGTGCTGCACCCAAGAAGTGGTGTAACGATGGCATAACATTCCATATGGCTACTGTAGGGCTTGGGGGTGGAAGGGGGCCTGTCGAGGATAGATAGCACAAATCCAGTACTATGTTGTTAAGGACTATAGAGCTTACTGTTGAAACTGGCCTTGTTCCTCCTGTGAAATTTCCTGTAAAAAAGAGCTGACAGCAAATGTACAGGAGGAGACTTCAGAATTGTCGCTGTCACAGTATCACGCTAGTCGTAGATCCCTCATTGGAGGCTGTGCAGAAAGGTGAATTTGTTTAGGTGTGTTAGTAGTGTAGAAATCTTTTTTTTTTTTTTTTTTTTTTTTTTTTTCTCCCCTCCAGAGCTCCTGGTCATCCCAGATAGCATTCAAATTACAGTCCTCAAGCTGTGTCTCGTTAGGGAAAAAACATACAGCTGTTTCTAGTTTTGAAAAAAAAACACAGTTTAATGAATTTCTCTATTGTGTTCAGGTTCACATTAATGCCCCCCCCCCCCCCCCCCCCCCCCCCCCCCCCCCACAGCATTTTGGTAACTACATGTGACATGATCTGCTGAACCTTGCATAACTAAAACTCAATCACTGACACCTGTAAGTAGTTCAAACCTTTTCTGCTCATCCTGATGAGCAGACTACTGCAGAATCTTCACAGTAGCTAAATAGCATTACAGCATAGATATTAGAATTCTTTACCTTATTACAAAAAAAAATATTTTCGAGTGAAAGACAGAAAAACAAAAATGCAAATACTATTTTTCAAGGTGCTTTATGGTGAAGGTCCAGATGGTGAATGTACTCGCCACACTGAACCCCTTAGGGTAGAAATGGGGTAGCTATCTTAGACTTGGCTTTTAAAAGGAGCACCTTGTATGTCCAGATCCTGGCTTATGATTTAAAGTGGTTATAAAGGTTCCTTTTTTTGTTTTTAATATAACAAACATGTCATACTTCCCTGCTCTGTGCAACTTGTTCTACCACCCTGCTCCTCCATTCTCTGGTTCCACCTCAGCCAATGAGGAAGACCAGGGAGTGCATCAGCTCTGGTGCACATTGCTGGATCGGGATCAGGCTCAGGTAAGTATTAGGGTGGGAGGGGCTGCACACTTAAGGTTTTAACCCATAGAATGCATGAAGGTAAAAACCCTTCAGCCTTTACAACCACTTTAAGCCAACGACCTGAAGTAAGCATCCATTCAGTCTTGGCAGTTCCCATGCATCAAATGCCTATTAAGTCTTGGCTTTTAATTAAGCCTGTGCTGGGAGAAATAAGTAGTAGTCTGGCACTACTGACCTCCTGAAAGTCTTCGTTATCTGAATCTCTTGCTGATCCAATGACATCTGTATTTTGAGTTACTGACTCCCTCTGACTTCAGAACATGCCTACAGAGTCAGTGACTCAGGAAGTATTGATATTGGACATTGAGGCTGCTTTCCAACAGTAGGTCAGCAATGAAAGCCTACATGCAATCTAGTTGTGCAACAGTCACTTCAATCACCTTGAAGCTTAGCAGGTCCTTAGCTCTGCTGCAAGAAATACACAGCTGGTTCCACCATTGTCTTCTCAGTCAAACTATATGCTTGATAACTGCCTCTATTAAAGCGGTCATCAAGGAAAGGTGAGATCACAAAGCTTTACAATTTTTCCCTGTTGTTTCCATAGAAAGAGATGGTTTTTTTCACTTGATAACTACCTCTCTTTCTCTTTTCCTAGCTCCTAAATAGACGTATTGTGCCGTCAGCCACAGTTTGTGCAATGTTGTACGCAAACAGTACTGTGAAATCTTGTTTAAATAAAATGGCATTGTCTTTATTTCCAAGGCATTATATAATCCTGCTTGCAAGTGCGCCGACCGAAAAGCAGCACCTGGAGTGGTAAGTTTTTGAATTGCTCAGAAGACGGGAAGATTTCAAAGTCTATCACAAACTTTTTTGTATTTTTTCCACAATTCTTTTTTGTTTTGTTATCTCTTTTATTAAATATTGCCGAGACAAGTGTGTAATGCATTTTCAAATGCAAGTCTTCTTTAACTTGAAGGCTACAGATACCCTTATTGGTTAGATTATACAATCTACTTTAGATACACATAGCTATGCAGTGTATGGGCCGAATGTTGCTTGCAGGTGATCCAAATGCTGGTTCAGCAGTTACTCACTGACACTTGGACAGTGTGTACAACTGCGTGTCCAACGGAAACCAGTCCCAACAACTGGCTTTTGTCGAAGGAAAACCAGCAGTCGATCAGCTCTGGCAGCTAATGACTGTGAGCTCTGATCAGTTTGTTCTGGCCAAGGGGGAGGTCAGGACACAGTAGTTCAGCAGGAAGGATCACTGCACTAGCATCACAGTACAGTGACCTCTCAGATTTTTCGTTTTTTGTCGTTCAGCTCACTGGGTGGAACGAAAAAAAAACGTGTACCAGGCTTAAGAATGCGTATGCCTGCCAAAACAGCAAGCATAAGTATCCTTTCCTTTTTGAAGAGCACAGTTCATTGTATAGTCCGTACTCATGGCAGCCCTGACCTTCCATAGTAGTACAGCCCAGCCATTGTAATGAATTGAGTAGATATCGCATATAGGAGCTAGACCTAAAAGTGAAGTTGTCCTTTTTCTTAATGTGCTTTGGTCTGGATCAGCCAATCAGTTTTGATGTCAGGTCAGCAATGAATGCCTACATATTTTTTTAGTTTGAGTTCCTTTTTAAAGTCTTATTTTTACAGCACAGTCCTGCATCCACTAATTAGTCACTTCCCATTTCACTTGACAGCAAGGTCAGATTTTATGTATGTATGTTATGCATTGAAACATCGTTGTAGTTTTACTAGAGTGGCAACGTCAGATTTCGTCTGTGCGGGAATATAGATTTACTGCTTATAAAAATGTGTTGGCTCTCCACAGGTGAACATGTGCTGTAATTTATTGATGTAATTGTTTTCCCAGGGTTGGTTTAGTGGAGTCGAAGATCCGTATTCTTGTCGGAAGTTTGGAAAAGAATGAATTCATCACACTAGCCCATGTCAACCCTCAATCATTCCCAGCCCCTGTTGAAAATTCGGAAAAGTAAGAGGATCACTATAAACTGTTTTGTTTGTGAATGATCTTATATTAATATTTAGATCTTATCTTAATTTGAAATATTTAGGGTATGTTATAGCAATTTTTTGGTTCTCTGTCCCTCATTCTATTCTGAAGCTGCTCTGGTCCTTTCACATGACCAGCTTCACTGTGGAGAAGGGATAGCCGACAATGGATGACCCATAGTAAGCCTATGGGTGAGGTCATTGCCCTGGCTCTGCAGCCCTTGTCCGCAATCTCTCCTTCACATGGAGGAGCTGGTACTGGAGAGACCATGTGACTGGAGCAGAGTAACCTCAGAATAGATGAGTATAGGCATCTTTCCTTTTACAGGGTAGATAGAATAGGCTTAGAATGGGAGTGGGAGTAGATTTAAGCTTTTTTGGTTTTGAACTGCCTTCCATTTTCAGGGTAAATTTTGTGCTTCTAAATAGTAGTTTGCTTGCCTTTTATTAATAATCATTCTGTTTCTCATTACTATACATGTCTCTGCATAACTGCTATAATTTGAAACTTTCTATCAGAATCTTGAGTTTGACCTACCTGAAAAGCATGCTTGCATAAATCCTAGATTTTCAGAATGCACAGGCACACTTACCCCTGAGTTTGTTATACAATATTGAGGTTTTCACTCCCTGCTTCCACTATATTTTTCTGCTCTTCATCCAGGTCCAGTGCTTTCTTTCTTTTGCCATTGGGGCAAATGCTGTACAAGATTCCTTCCCCCAGCTCACATTCTACTGATAATTCAGGGAATGTTTACAGCACAACTTCTTGAGTGCCTATGCTTGCAACCTCTGTCAGGCGTGCCTCTTCCCCTCTCTGCTGAGGTTTTTAATTTTTTAAAACAGTCATGAAAAGTTTAATTCCCCAAATTATTCAGTTATTTACTGATGCTGATCACAAAAGCCACAAGGGCACTTCAGCACGCACTCCTGTAAATTTCAGATTTCCCCCATGGTCTTAGCCACTTCCAAGCCAGTAGCCGCAGAAACGTGGATCCTCTTTAAGAGGTATATAGTAGAGAAGTTTCAGTTTCTTTTGTTCAAAATCAATTTAACATTTTTCGAAACCTGAAAGTTTTTGATGTATGTATGTATGTATGTATGTATATATATATATATATATATATATATATATATATATATATATATATATATATATATATATTATATATATATATAGTCATGCCTACTGTAACACATGCTTACTTCACCTTTTCCTTGTTTGGTAGATAACCTACATATTTTTATTTTAAAGGTATACAAACTGCTGGGAGCATGAAATGCATTGTTTTTTTTTGTCTGCAGGTTTAACATGTACAGGAAAAAGCTCGTTCATTTACAGTAATCTGCTGAGCAGAGACAAAATGCAGCCTTTCTTTACACACTGGAATGTGCTGCTTTCTGTGATACTGTCCTGAGCTTTCAAAACTGGTCCGTACTGCCATGAAATGTATGGCATGGATGGCTTAACTCTGTACATATGGATAAGTGGGAGATACTTGCCTTGATTACCCCATTTCTAACATTTCTGGTGGTAACAAATACAGCAAACTCAACCTTAAAAAAAAAAAAAAAAAAAAAAAAAAAAAAAAAAGTCATCAGACCATTAATTTCAACCACAATCTTCCCATAATATTATATCTATTTTTGGCATATTTTGGGCTTGTTCTTTATCTGTAAAATCCTACCTTGTGTAGATGTCCAAAAGCCCTGAGACTGCTGCTGGGTGCCAAAATCTTGGATGTGATGTCAGCAGTTCCAGCAGATTCAAAGCTGTCAATCATATAACACCAGGATATTCCCCTTTTACTCCATTAATGAATACCGTTGCATTTTTGAGTGTTTATCCAGAATGATTTCTGATCTTGAATCGGCTAAATAGTGTAAACTGAGACCGGACAACATGCTTAGCCTAATTAGGTTTGTTTTTCTGTTCTTTTTGTCCAGTGTATGTTATGACACTTGTATGTACACTTGTACTGCAAAAACACCTAAGCATAAGAACACCCAACAACAAAAATGTAATATATTGCATCTTATCAGTCTATCATGTGTCCGGCTGAATTTGTTTTCTTTTTTTCAGGCTAAGAATGTTTTACGCAGGTAGAGAAAATACCTGCTGATCTTTCCAGAAATGCAGCTGGTCTTTTCCTGTGAGCTGACCTGGAAGTGTAAAACAATGTTATTTTATTAATGTCAACTTTTAATTCCATCATCCCCTGTAGGGATGACATGTTTGGAGTCCAGCCTGGCGTGGCAACCATGGCTTCATCCATAAATATAGTGGAGGAGTGAGCCTAGCCACCAAGGATTACTAGGTGGAAAAAAAAAAGCTTAAAAAGGTAACCAATTCAGCCACCACATCTAAGGACCAGTAAGCTGCAATATTTTTAATTTTTTCTTTTTTAGATTAGATACACTTTAAATATTTATTTTCTAAAGTTGTTTTCCCTTAAAAATGTCATTAAAATTAAAACAAACTTCCAGAATGATTTTTGTTTTCTTATTTCAGTGAAGAATTTCGGACTATGTGGGTAATTGGACTTGTATTTAAAAAGATGGAAAACTCAGAAAATCTCAGCGTTGACCTCACATTTGACATTCAGTCCTTCACAGATACAGGTATCCAGGCTTTGACACACAGGATTTTATGTGGACTATTAAAATATCTCTTGATTTTTGCATTAAGTATAACAGATGAGTCTGTCAAGTCAGTAGATCCCAAACTGAAATCCCCCATGCTACTGGAAAACTATAACTATGATAGTTCCTTAAACATTTCCGTACTTAGAACTGCTCTCATTCATTGAGGGATCTAGTATTCTTGAACAACTGGGTTATGCCGCTGCCTACAAAACTGTAGGCCAGTTCATGGTGTAATCCCTCCAATGATCAGCATACTTTACTTTTTTGTTAGTGTCCTAGGAGGACTGGACATTTTTCAGCTCCACTGATCTTAAAGCAGTTCTCCATTTCCCCCCTCAACCCCCAAAATATTAAGTCACATACCTGTCCATGGATCCAGCACTGCCCTCACATGAGCCGATTCTTCAATTGGCTCCGGGTCCAGGTGCTGGCATATTAACTAATAAAAACTGGCAGTGAAGCCTCGGCACTGCACTTCGTGAATAGCTCCGCAGTCTTCTGGTGGGACCAGTGATGTGTCTCAGAAGGCTGTGGGGGAAGGAGGGGGGGCAACTGCAAAGTTTTCCTTGGATCACCAAGGCAATCCAACCAGAAGTGGGAGCAGGTGCCTATCAAAATCAGGTACCTGCTCTTTAACCCCCTCCTTTCCTGAGAAAAAAATGCCAATTTTTAAAAGAGAAGTGTAGGATTCAAACAGGGTAGAACTTCCACTTTAAGACATGTCCTTAGCAAATCATAAATTCGCTGGTCATAAAGTTTCCACCAGTTCAGCCAGATAGCAGTCTTTTTCACAGCCAGTGTGTTTGTTGACTTCACGTCAATGGACCTGTCAAGGCTCAACAAGGCAAACATGGAAGTATCCTATGGGTGCCTTAACCCAGGGCTTGAAATTTCCACTCACCTGCTTGCCTATGGTGGGGGTGAGTGTGTCCCCCAGGGCCGTCTTGCTGAGCAGCTTCGGAGCTCAGGCTCGATCTGTCAATGGTACTGGGAGCAGTCAGACTTCTCAATAGCTGAGGTCAGTGAAAGCAAAGGAAAGCGTGTGTGCTGTGCTCTCTGCCTCCCCCTAGAGTGCAGTACCTGGCTCTGTGCGTGAACAACGAAGTACTGCAACTTTTTATCGAGGGGGTGGTGTGTTTGTGTACGTGTACACGTGTCTGCGTGTATGTACACGTATGTGTGTCTGTGCATGTGTATTTCTGTGTATGTACATGTATCTGTGTGTATGCGTCTCTGTACGTGTGTGTGTGTACAGGTGTCTCTGTTTGTGTGTGTTGGTGGCGAGTAACTCTTAGGGCCTGGCTAGTAGCTCAAATTTTAACCCCTGCCTTAACTGACACTTTGTCATACAGATCACGAAAAAACTTGCTTCCGTTTGGGTTATGACCTAAATATCCTATAACCTGTATCATGTTTACCTAGGTTTTCTCCATGGTATGACTGTAAGTTAAGATGTTTTCCTAGTCTGTAAGTGAAAAATGTAAAAAGACAGGTTGTGCACATCTCTAATGTGACTGTTTTGTGATTTTTGTATAGTTTATAGACAAGCTATAAACAGCAAGATGTTTGAAGTAGACATGAAGATTGCAGCCATGCATGTGAAAAGGAAGCAACTTCATCAGCTCCTACCCACACACGTGCTTCCTAAGAAGAAAAAGGTAAAGTCTAGCACTTCACAAGTGCTTCCTAAGAAGAAAAAGGTAAAGTCTAGCACTTCACAAGTGCTTCCTAAGAAGAAAAAGGTAAAGTCTAGCACTTCACAAGCAGCATCAGTCTTATTAGTGTTCCCAGGATTATCTGTTCCTATGAGACTATTATCTCTCGGGTGTACAGCTATACAGTAAAGATGATCTATTTGTTTTACTAGCACTAGAGCTGCTTTAGGATGAAATCAGACTATCCCGGTCATTCAGCTGTCCATATTATATTTAGAGATCTAAACCAGTTTGTTTGTCATAATTCAGAGAATTAGTCTAAGGTGTTTTTCTTGGTTTTGCAGCATTCTACGGAAGGTGTGAAGCTGGTGGGTCTGCATGACAGCAGCATGGACTTATCAGTGGACAGTGACAACAGTATGTCTGTGCCTTCTCCCACCAACACCACCAAGACCAATCCATTGAATGCCTCAGGATTGTCTCAGGGGTAAGACTACCTCATACCATTTTTTGTGCTATGTTTTTGATAGTGGTATAAAAAAAAAATCTATTTTGCTTTCAACAGGCAAATTGACAGTGTCTCTTTAAAGCACTGGAAGTCCACAGACAAGCGACTGTTGGATTTCAATTGACACCCAGCACAGTATATGAGGGGATGCCGCTTTAGAGCAGTTCTTGTTAATTTAGCCAGTAAACCCCTTTTAAGTAGTAGGTATGGTTCAGTTTTGAAGATCCTTGATTGTTATTGTTTTTCTTCCTGCAGTAGAAAGCAGTCCAGCAACACCTGCGAACTCTTCCTTGACCAATGTACCAAATGCGGAGAGCATCGTGCAGTCCTTGAACAATTCCTTAGACTCATCACGGGGTAAGTTTGGAGCGTTTTTGCACGTCTTTGAGGAATCTGATTTTGTTTCCTGCTGTTTTTAACCATAGATCTTTTGTTGCAGGTAGTCTGTACGAAAGCATTCCCGCTGACACTGCCATGTCGCCAGCTATCTCTTCAACACCAAAACCTGTGGTGTCTCGGGTGGTGACCGCTACCCGACTGGTGAACCAAGTTCCAAAGCCTTTTTCAAGCATTGCAGCGAAACTGCCAAGTCCAATAGGGGGTGTAAAGCGGACATCCTCTTCTCCGAAGGAGGGAAGTCCCAAGAGAGTCAAAACCGAAGAGGTGATTTTATATTTTTGGTGTACTTTTAACTGGTTCTTCATGGTAAACCTAGATAGTATGTCAAATTGAATGTTTAGGGAAGGTTTTTGTTTTTTCTATTGCTTATTCAATGTATACTTAAAGTGAGCTCCAGCTGTAAAAGATTAGTCCTGTCAGGCTTCTTCCTATCACAGAAACCTAAAATAGCCAGATTGGAGTTTGCCAAAACCTACCTGAGGAAGCTAAAATCCTTTTTGAGAGAATGTGCTGTGGACAGACGAAACAAAATTACAGCTTTTTGGTAAAGCCCATTGTTTTACTGTTTTCAGAAAAAGCAATGAGGCCTTTAAAGAAAAGAATACAGTCAAACATGGGGGAGGGTCACTGATGTTTTTTGGGGTAGCTTTGATGCTTCAGGCACTGAATGCCTTGACCGCATTATGAAATTTGAAGACTACCAAAGAATTCTCGGGTGTAGTATAGGGCCCAGTGTCAGAACGTTGCGTCTCTGTCAGAGGTCATGTATCTTACAGCAGGACAATGACCCAAAGTACACAACAAAAATCATCCAGAGATCGTTTCAGACCAAGTTCTAGAAAGTACTGAACTGGCCAGCAATGAGCCCAGATCTTAATCCCATGGAGCTCCTATGGAGGTATCTCAGAACTGCAGTTGGGAAAAGGAACCCTTCCAATCTGAGAGACCTGGAGCAGTTGGCGAAAGAAGAGTGCTCCAAAATTCCATTAGAGGGGTGGAAGAAACTCATTGATGGTTATAGGAAGCCATTGATTTCAGTCATTTTTTTACAAGGGGTGTGCTACCAAATATTAAATTGAGGGTGCCAATAATTTTTGTCCAGTCCATTTTTAGGGGTTTTCCGTGGAATGATCAGATTTTTTTGTTCACTTTTTTTGTGTCATACCAATACAAACGAAAGAAATAAACATTTGGAATCACAACAATTTTCTGGGCAAAGTGGTGCATTATCTGCCAGAAATGCAGGGGTGCCAATATTTTTGGCCATGACTGTATGTGATCCCATATACATAGGTATATCTGTTGTGTATTGGTCTGCAGTTCCTCTTTCCAGATGCATTTTAATTTTGCCAAACTCTGATTTGTTTTTCTGTTTGTAAATTAAACTACATCAAGATGTTTTTTTGTTTCGTTAGGATGACACCAATGGCTGCTGCACTGCTCTAGACTCAGATGAGTCAAGCCGATGTGAAATGGAATTATTAAAGGTGAGTCACTTGAAGAGCTTGTCATGGATGCTCTCCTTAAAGGTGCCTATACCCATTGTTCTTTTCAAAGTAGTTGCAAAGGTGTTTATCATTTTTTTTTTTTATATTGTGCCAACAAATTCCAGTAGACTTTACTGAGTGCAGAACTATTCACCCCAGCTGCTGCCCTTCCACAGAATCTACAGTCTATTGCATCCTTTTTCAACCAGAGTGCCCAGGACCCTGGGGTGCCTTCAGGTTCCAATACATATTTGAACAATACATATGCCTTTTGTAGACCTCCTATCTGGGGTCTGCATTTCTGATAAAGGGCTGTGTTTGATGGTGGTGGATACACTGTTCACTGGATTAATTTACAGAAGAGAGTTTATTGATATATGGATTTTGAATGTATTTTAATCTATTTTTCACATTTAAGTAATGACTTTTTAATATATGGACTCAATTATGATACTCAATTTTATGTACGATGTATGAATTTTAAATTTTATATATTCAGCGCAACATATATTTAAAAGAGTTTGAAGACATGGTTGGATGTTGAGTGCAGCTGGATAATTTATGGTTTGTTTTGGTTATCACCAAAGTGCATTGTAAAAAGGTTTTGTAATGTTATATGTTAAACCCTATATTCGGGTTTAACATGTTCCTAAAGGTGAACATTTAAACCTTATCCCAGCCATTGCAGGTTGTTGGTTGGGTGTGAAAGCAGCCAATCCAAAATACCAAGGGCTGGTTAAGCCAGATTTAATTGAAAAATTTGGTAACATGATGTGCAAAGTACACATTTTCAGTAGGGATGCACCAATACCAAGTATTTATGAAAATGCTCCCTATACCCAAACCAATACCTTGCGGTGTGATTTGATTCCATATGGAATGTATGAACGCAAATTGCACCACAAAGAATAGCATGTGATTTGAACAGGAATGCTATTCCTTTCCAAATCATATGTGGTTTCCCCACTGCTCCAAGCTTGTCATAGCCTGAGTTCACACAGATGCGGTGCGGGAAACCTCCCTGAACCGATCCAATGCTGAGCGGAAAGTGGGAGAAAAGGACGTGGGGCGTTGTGTATACTGGTGTTGGCTATCAGGCAGAGGATAGAGGCAGATGCTCTGGATTCTCCACTGTAGCAGAGGAGAAAAAGCCACTGGTGGCTTTCTCTCCTCTCCTTACAGGGATAACAGTAGGGGCTAGACAGCTTTTGATTGGTCAGCACCGTCGTGGGATTTCGAATCCCGCAATTTTATCTCCTCTCCTACAGCTGAGAACTCAGCCATCAGAAGATGGAGCCGGATGCTCTGACACCAAGGTATACATCCCCACACACCCTTCATCCACATGCTAAGTATCAGTACTCGTACTTTCCGATCAAAAAATGGTATCTGTGCATCCCCAATTTTGAGCACTTTTTTTAAAGGTCTTCATGCAAAATTACAGGTCACTACACAAAATTGCAAAGTATTTTCAAAACAGACTAAAGAGCTCCATTCTGGTCAGAAAAGGTCCTGCTAACATAATTGAATTAAAAAGAAAAACAAAAAAAATTTGCTGTTTTTAAAAATTTTCTGCCAATTGCACCATAGCAACTGTGGTGTAGGGATGAATTACACTCGGTATGTGTAACTGCTTGGAGGGCAGCAATGTGAATCAGCACTTGGTGAAGAAACCCTTTAGGAACGCTCGGTTTGTGGATGTGTTGGCTGTGACCGCTCCCTGATCCACTGCAGACCTATTGTTTGTTCCTGACTAAGGATGAATCTTGCATTTTGTTTTTGGTACTTTTTTTTACATACAGTAATTGTTCTTTTTTTTTTGTCTGTGCTGTTTTCACAGGAGAATGAAATAGATGAAACATCTTCATCTCCTGTTCCCGGAGCCTTGCCATCTCAGGTATGTTGCTTAGATTACCTTGGTGTTGCACCTTAAGGCTACTTTCACACTGATCCATAGCAAAAATGCACTAAAAACACATATGTGCTTTTGCTGTATTTTTACTGCGTTTTGTGGTGTATTTTAGACTGGTAATGTGACTCAAAAACCACATAAATACAATTCGGCTGTGCTTTTATGCGTTTTTTTCTTGGTGCATTTTCTATGCATTTTAATGGGGAGGTGCTTTTTTGGTGCAGTGTTTTTTTTTTTTTTTTTGTTTTTTTTTTACCACACCAAAATTGCAGCAAGCAAGATTCTACTAAATGCAGCGGACCCGCAATGGATCAGTGAGTGGCGTTTAACAGGATTACATGGTCACACTTTTTTTTCTTTTTTTTTAACACAAAAGAGAAAAAGGGATCAGTGTGAAAGCAGCCTAATTCTTTTGGCAGGTGAAAATTCCTTTAGATGTCACCTAATCGTTAAGGGTCATTTAAAACAACTGAAACAAATATGATGTTTGCTCCTAGCAGACAGCCTGGCAATTTAAATAAAACAGACTTAACACTGATCCTTGGGGAATATTATATTTTTTTTTTTAGTTATAGCTAGGGAATTATGAGAGTGGATTCCGGCTTCAGTGTGCATAAATATGATTGTCACCAATACAAGATGGGTTACACTACAAACTCTTATTGGTGGTCAGATCTTCTGACTTCCATCTCGCCTCTTTACGCACATTAAAATAGTTAACCAATCCCCCATCCTTTATGGGATATGGCATATTGCTGTTTATAGTAGGATATCACAATTTCGAGGAGTAAACATCTGACTAGCATACTGATAATTTACTTCTGTTCTGGGTGCTTGCACATCAGGTCTTTCTCCGGTAAATGGTGACCAGCTTCCTGCTCCCAGATTCTGTTCTATTTTGCTTTTCACTACTGCGCAAGAGCTGCACAAGGGAGTGAGCTATTGCCAGTGACCAGTAGCTGATCACCTTTTGTAGAATGACCCAGGTGTTCAGAAATGCTGGTACGCTGGACAGAAGAACAGACCTGGTGTTTAGGCACCTGGAAGTGCTTTGAAGGTGAGATTTAGAATTTATATGTCATTATACAGGAATATTTAGATATGAAACATGTCAGAGCTGGTGTTGTTGTGTATGTGAATTACTTCTGCTACCAGGGTCTAAAATAACTTCTACACTTTAGTATAAGTGATTCCGTGCCACGCAGTACCAAATCTTCCTAGGGATAAATTCTCATGTGCTGTGCAATGTCAACATAAAATCCTAGAATAAAGTGAAATAGGTGTACATGTGTATCCTATGTGTTTATGTCCAAAAATACAACATGCGTAGAATGTATGCTTTTTAAGTCGGCACAAATATCTGGAACAATACTCAAACTAAGTCTTATAACAAAGTATGTTCAGTGGACATGTGTGTATCCTATGCATTTTATATCAAAACAGAATCGTGCATAATATATATGTTTTTAACTCATCACCATATATGTGAAGCCGTCCACACCCATAACTGCAAAACATGAAATAATGGTAAATTCTAACCGTTCATATATTTTCATAAGAATCCTTTATGTCCAAAAATCCAAACGTGCAATCAATCAAACATGTACTACATGTTGAGCTCTTCATTTCTAAAATCTTCGTTTATATGATCACCACATGTAGATACCCATCCACCGACCGTAATATGCCCTCACCTTTTTGATAGATCTAACAGCAAGGTCTCATGCACCTGCCCCTTTAGTGGGGTCACCTACATCACAAGAGCAATGGTTTCCTCCAGGGCACTGGGGCTTGTCAATCCTCAGCAATCCATGGTGAAATATTTTCAAAAAACTTTGAAAAACAAAGAAGGAAATAAAGCACTTAAACCTCACCATTTATTGAAAAAAATATATAATATACTTTTTGGTGCACAGATCTGTTCCACCAAGGAT